CCCCATCGTCGGACGCCTCACCCACACGCCAGTTGTTCCTTTTTCTCTTTTTTTTGTTCGCGCTTATTGTTATTGTTTTATCGTAATAAATCTATTTTGTTCGCAGTGTTCGCTTCAAACTCAAGTGGAGAGAAACGGGACTTCCATCTCCCATCCATGAAGTTTCACGGACGACGGACAGACAAACCGATAGAGACACATGAAATACCGACAAACCGACAAACCTGCAAACCGACACACCAAGTTACCGTTTTATAAATAAGAGAGACTGAGGATTGTTAATGGTCGGATAAGTTTAATCGCAAGTGATTTTGCGAGAAAGGGAGACTGATCTATCATTAAGTCACAAACCTGCAATCACAATCCGACAGCAATAAACGAACTGATTTTCCATCCCCTCTCGAATGAAACATATCGTAGAGTCAAAGCTAGATCGTGAATACCAAAAACGTTAGGATTCAATTCAGACTCTTGCTCTCTGAAGCTCCTTGTCAGCTTTGTCTGTTGTTATCAGTTCCTGTCAGAAAGTACCTGCGACCCCGTCACATCCTACATCACCTATCAAAATGTCAAGGTTCCTTTGCCAAGGGTTTTACAGACCTAGCTGTTCTAAGCTTCTAGAGCTCATTGTAAGCCCTTTTGCTCGATATCAGTCCTTCTCACCAATCACCTACAGTCCCTTCACATCCCACACCACCTTCTGTTGACATGAAAGGAGTAAGGATGCTGCGGCTCTTGCCTTCTAAGGCTTCTTATCAGTTCCTATCAATTGTTATCAATTCCTATCACATATCACAAGTACTCCAATCTTGCCACCTAAATCCCTTCCAAATTTGAACGCCTAGGTCCAGAGGGACAGGAGTTGTGAATTTACATTCAAACCACACGCGCAATAACAAACCGACTAAGCAACAGACACACTTAGCGAATTATATATAGTAAGATATATCGTGAAAACTTCAGCAGCTCTTTCGGCATGATAGAAGTAAAAAAGTAAAATGCTCTATTTAACACTCCGCATTCAATGTGATCCTACAGTTACAGAAGGGAGAGCAATTTTTTTTTCAGACAAAGTACAAATACATGACAAAAAGCGTTCAGACTCGCGAATAGATGGAACATAAGACTAGATTAATGTCTCACATACACGGTGCAATAAAGGAACCACGAGAGTGGGGTGTATACAGTGACTTCGAGGTGAATGAGTTCAAATTGTTGTAGCACTTGTAAAAATCGGATGAAGTAAGACTCAGTCCCTTAGTTCCCTCGAATAATACAGTGAAAACCTATCTCTCGTGAGGGGGGATGGGAAAATTCTACGAGTCAAAACTTTGGAAAGAATTCCAGCAAACATTAAGAAAAAATCTGAGTAGTGATAGCGGCGCTTTATAAAGATCTGAAAAACGATGATTCGATGTTGAGATGGTCAAATACCGAGAATGATAAGCAGAAAAAAATGAACATAATCAAAATAACCACTAAACTAAAAAAACTATACTAAAAAACTTTTGTAAATACTCCATCGCCAGTCGGTTTGCAGACCATGTAATCTGCAAGTCCCCAATGAACGATTTGACCATTTTTGGAGATAGAAACGAAGGCCACCAACGGCTTGGCATCAGTTGTTCATGGCTTTGTGGTGTCGTTCTCACTAGCTGGAAGAAGTTTCGGCGGCAGGTGAGATCATTCATGGTAGGCTGTTGGGCTAAGGACGGAGCGTGCGATTAAAGTACTCGTTTTGCTATTCTTCTTCCTCTCCTTAGCATTGATACTGTGCCGTTACAGAGCTTGCTGATCATATCAGCATTCCTTTCTTCTTTCTATCTGCGGCACCTTCTGCCGTTACTTGAGCATCGGCAGGGCCTTTCATGATCACGTCCCGCTTCCTCTTCTTTGGGGCTCCTCGTGGTGGCTCCCCTTGAGCCTATAATTTTAGTGCCGGTTTTAAATTTTACTGAATGAATCGGTGGTCCTCTCAATACGTCCGTAGCATATGCGCTATAGTACGCGCTGCTTTTTCATCTTCGTTTGGAGAAGAGCTTTCTGCATGACCGCCCTGTCGATTTTGTTTCTGATACGGTTCAGTAGTGTCCAATCGCAGGCCCTTCGAACACTTCTGTCCTGCTGAAGAAGTTGTCATTCACGGTTTTCGCATACGAACTAGCACTTGCTGCCGTAGAGCATCGCAGGACTGACCACTGTCCTGTAACCATTCTTTTGAACATCCTGGAGCACCATCGATGGTAGAGGATACTGGAGAACTCTTCCACCCCATCCATGCCTGCCTGTTCTACATCACCATCAGCAGCTAGTCCAAGCCCCGCGTATTGGACTCCTGTACCCTTTCAATGGCTGTCCCATAACCGCCTACGGCCGTTTATGGGCGGGAAAGAAGGAAAGACTTGCAATCGCTAACTCCAGTCAACCTGCCTAGTGGATCTAAAATAATCCCTTATTTTGGGATTGCTGAGGAATGGTATAAGAATGCCGCCTATCATAGAAGGAAAGAAGAATCAAAAGAAGGTATGTAGAGGGCAGAATGACCTTCTACTATCTAGCAAATAATGGACCACACTTGCTCATGCTCTCGACCACAAGACATGGAAGTTCACTATCATTTCATAAAGGAACGTCTCTATGACAGCCAGTTGCGTGGTAGCTAAAATAGAAAGGATATTTGTCGTTCGCGAGAAGTAGGTGGGAGCTAGCAGTCGCTTTCCGGCTACGGTTCGCACGTGGTGTTATGGAGGACCATGAGCGACGCATCCTTCGCCCAAACCAGCGGTCGTTAGGGGAGCTAGTCCGATGCATTCCAGATTTTGGAATCGTCCAGGTGGATCACGTCCAACCAACTGTAAAGCAGGACCAACTTCTAATAGAATGAAGACTTCCCATGTGAGAACAGACTCAGATAATATCGATCGATAGATTTGGAATGTTGTTCACGAATACAGTAGTAAAACTGCTTGATGAGTTTCTGAAAAATGTCTCCAAGTTTTCTTTACTTAACGTGTATACTTAGCGTCAGCTGAAGTGCGCAGTTGCACAACGGTAATGATCGCCTTCCTCACGTGAAGGGTAAGGGTTAGCTCCATGTCTTTCCGCTGATTTTGCGAAGTATGCTTTCCTTCGAGTAGAAGCTTGACAACACTTCAAATGTTTGTTCGAGAGAGCATCTTGTTTCGGACATGATTTATACTTATCCTACTCATTATAGACAGAACGTTTCTGCACGAGGTTTCGTCACTCTGAAGAATATTTCTATTTCTGTTGTACGCCTTTTTGAAAAAAAATAGTAGAGGAGCTGCCTTCTTGGCCTTGCCGTGTAACAGTTATTCCAAAAGTTGAGAGTCTCTAATGGAAAGCTGGAATCTTGTCTAACTTGGCATCATCGACTCACCATAAGATGAGCTGTCCAGCCGTCACATAGTCGTCATAGCCTCTGAGGGATGGTGGTACAATATGTTGGACATGTATAATACCAACTGTTGAGCTGTTGAGTTCTACTGTTCGTGCTGTTTGAGACTGTCCCTTCTTTTCAGAGTTTCAACTTCTACATCACTCAAGAATATTCTATTGAGAAGACTTCTTTGATGTGCCAATCGTCAGGTTTTCGTAGAAGACACTTCACAATTGAAAAGATGGTGATGTCGTACACAATATATAAATAATTCCTTGCTTGTAACTTTGCATTTCTGAGTCTGAATGCAGCTTAACATTGTGAGGGAAATGGCGTTCAGCGCTTTATTCAGTGCGTCTAATCTGTAGGTGCACTAAATGCAAACCACCGTAAGCGAAAGACAGCTCGAAACTTAACAGCTTGTTACCGTTGCATCGGAAAAGCGGTACGCGGCGCTATGATTTGTTGCTTTTCATTTCAAAGACTCTAGCATCAATGCCCATACGGCCAGAATCGTGAAATTTCGTGTTTGCAAAAAAATCGCTCATATTTTAATATTTGTATTTACTTTTTTAGAATGTGGGCAGCCAGAAACGCATTGCGTCCAATAGCCTTTCTCAGTACTTGGCCCATTCGAGCCAGAGCTCTTCGTCCACTAAGTGTCGTGGTGATGCAACCTCACAGGAGTGTCACCCCTTCGCAACGCTTCTATGCAACCGCTGAGCGACATGAGTTTCAAGCAGAGACGAAAAATCTCATGGACATCGTCGCCAAATCTCTTTACTCCCATAGTGAGGTGAGGATTGAACATTTTATGCTCCCCTTTACATGTTGTTTTGTTGAACATTTGAGTTCTTCAGAACAGTTCTATAGAAAATGGTCTAGCGTGTTTACCTTCCTGGTTGATACTTCATGTGACTTTTGATTTCAGCTTTTTGGTTCGATGGATGAAGTTATCTTGTAATTGAAATTCCTACCAAATCGACGCATAGAAGCATCAGTCCATGCAAAATCTTATGGTAGTATTTCATCTCATAAGTTTGTATGCTAGTAAATGTTCAGGTATTTGTACGCGAACTCATTTCCAATGCTTCGGATGCTCTTGAGAAGAGGAGATGCGTCGAGTTGACCGGAGAAATAGCAGAAGGACCTAGCGAAATTCGGGTTATTACTGATGAGGTGAGACTTGTATAGTTGCCAGGTCTCCCATATAGGCATGGAGGTCTCTTTTATTGAGGCTAACCGCACAATCACCTTCGAGGACACTGGCATTGGAATGGATCGCGAAGATTTACTCGAATGCCTCGGAACGATTGCCAAGTCGGGCAGCAAAGAGTTCATTGAGAAGGTTTTGAATTATTTGGTTCTTGAATGTTTTTCTGTATTCTAATATTTTCATGTTTATTAAGAATAAGGACAATGCAGAAGCAGTAATCGGCCAATTCGGTGTAGGATTCTATTCCGCTTTCATGGTAGCAGACTCAGTGGTTGTAACTACTAGGAAAGTTGGAGCGAAAGAGGACCAAGGATTGAAATGGGTTTGGAAAGGGTAAGTCTTAAAAGTCTTTCGAAAGTTCATCGACGTAGTGCTCCAACGGCAGCTCTGATGGATAACGTTCAACCACGTTGCGCCCAAGTTTTCTTCAGTATTTTAGTATGATGCCGTTTGATGGGGACCGGAAAAGGATTGCCCATGAATTTCTTGTCCCTGTTGAAATTCTAAAATGTACTTGAGAAGGTGTAGGGTGACGTGGCGATGTTATGGGGCATATTTGAAATATGTTTAAGGCTGATGAAACTGGTGACTACAATTCCTTATCGCCGTCATGGCATCTTGTAATCAATGACCATACCCCCCCCCCCCCCCCCCCCCCCGATACACGCAATATCTCTGGGTTCACCCACAATCATTCAGTTCAACTAATCTCTGAATCCACTTGTCAGTCATAACTCAGAACATCTTCAACCTAAAAACAGCAATTCTATTTTCTTTTCGAGAATTTGATGAACTATCTGGGAACTTATTTTCGAAGCACGGGGTGCATTAATCACTAGACTTTCTGTGAAGTATAAACAGGGTTCAGTTTCTGCTGTTTAAATGTTAATACCATGTTTGCGTTGGTAACATTGAATTCATAATGCATGGCTTTCTACAATCACAGGCATTGAAGTCATAAAACGAATCAAACATCTTCCAATAGGCCTTGTTACTCACTGGCGGTGACACACGTTCCATGAATCGTCAATACTGCAATATTTAGAGACAATTCCTATGAAATTTCCGAAGAGAGCGGTCTGCCGACTGGTACCCGCGTACACATCCATTTGAAAGCCGGCGACTCTGCAGATTATTCCAAGGCTGATAAAGTAAAGGAGGTAGGGAGATTTCCAAATAACAGTACCTTTTGGTGTGCGTAGACGTTGGTTCGTAGCGACCAGGTGTAGCTGTCTCACTTACGCGGCAAAGCCGATCATACTTCAACATTGATACCTAGGGGTATGGGTACATTCACCCAGGTCTGGATGCATGTGGAAAATTGCGCGGCGAAATTTGTGGCAATTTAAACGACTTTAGCGCCCATCATTAGGGCCCAAATTCGAGTTAGAGTCGATTATTACTATCATCTGACCATACTAGTGTACTCTACTTCAAATTTGCGCCCCAATGATAGATCTAAAAGTCTTCCTAAACGCCACGAATCTCGCCGCGCCATTGGCCACGTCCATCCAATTCGGGGTCCGTCCCCCGATACCTAGTGTCGATTTTTGTGACTTCCGCGAAACGATTCCAGATAATCGATAAGTACTCCTACTTCGTTGCTGCTCCAATTTTGCTGAATGGAGAACGTGTAAATAGTCTGAATGCTATATGGACTTTGCAACCGAAAGACGTCACCAAGGAGATGCACGAAACGTTCTTCCAGTGCGTTTTCTCTTAGATGATGCGATTGGGCAGGGTATCGCATTGTTGTTTTGTTCCGTGATTTCCATGTCACCCTTTTTATTCTCAGGCAGTTGGCGAAACAGCAGAAGAAGTCTGATTTCATACACCGACCGTGCTATACAATTCACTACAAGGTGAGTGTTCTAAAATTGCAAAATTATCTATTATACTACTCTGTAATGTCGATCCCAAAGTATAGGCTGCCGGCTCTGGGCTTGAGATCCCGAACATCTTTGTTACAGACCGACACACCAGTCTCATTACGATCTGTTCTCTACATACCACAGCACAAGTTCTCAATGCTGGAGTACGCTGCCCAGGCGCATAACAGGGAATGTGGTTTGTCACTGTACGCTAGAAGAGTGCTTATCAAACCAAACGCTGGTGAACTTTTGCCCAAGTATGTTTTTTTTTCCAAATCATTTTCTACTTTATGGAAAACGGTCTAACTTTCGAACATTCGCATACTTTCAGCAAAATTCGCTGCCTTCTTTGAGTTGATTTTTGTTGATTAGGTTCTATGTTGACTTGTAACCCATCATGCAAATCGGCTCAATGCACGTGTTTATATATTGCCGCATCCTAGGTTGCATTTATCTGGCGTTATTTTTGTCGCATATTCATCCAATATGCTCCGTTGTGAACTCCTCCACAACGTTTTCCTTGCCGTCCTACCTCTCAACTTTTTATACCTCTCAATGAAATTGTTGGTATTAAACGCATAGAACACATTGGGTCACATAGTTAGTTCCATGTAATAAGTAGTTTGTGCAAACACAGATGTATTTTAGTTACCTTCACTTCATCATGGGTGTGGTCGATTCGGAAGATGTTCCATTGAACCTTAGTAGGGAAATGCTTCAGAATAATCCCGTTTTGAGGTCTGTTTTCAAGTACTTCGAACTGCACTCATTTTACCGCATTTGTACATTTTCCACATTCCAGAAAGTTGAAGAAAATACTCACGGACAAAGTTCTTAGCTTTCTGCAAAATGAAATGAAGAAGGATCACGAGAAGTACGAAGAATTCTATAAGTACTACAACATTTTTCTTAAAGAAGGTGTTGTTACAGAAATGGAGCATAGTCAGAAGGTTAGTCAGTTCTTCAGAAGTCCGTCGTAGACAGTTACGAATAGTTGTCCATTTTTGATCCGGATCCATACTATCCCCTGGATTCGGGGTGCATTTCTGTTATGCATCCATTTCATCCCTTAAAAACTCATAAACAACGCTTGCAGGAAGAGATAGCAAAATTACTTCTGTTTGAATCTTCGAACCTGAAACCGGGTGTACTCACCAATCTTAGCGAGTATTGTAAGCGTATGCAGGAAGGCCAGAAAGAAATATTCTACATGTTTTCTCCTAGGTGAGTTGTTTAAAAGTCGCATCGGGCTTGCTGGCCTACTCATGTTTCATGCATTTTTCTGTACCGCTTTTTCCTGTAAAGAGTACTAAAGTACTTTAGCCGACAACTCGCTGAGTCATCACCGTACTATGAGTTGATCAAATCTCAGAACAAGGAAGTTCTTTTTCTTTACGAACCTGCTGACGAGGTTATTAGCTTCACGTTACCCTTCTATTTATTTCGAACCATGGTTGCTAATGAACTATTTTTCCCAGGTAGTCTTTCTTTCGATGGGGCAATTCCAAATGAAAAGTTTGATAGGAATAGAGAAGTGGGCGGAAACTGCAGCATCAACAGAAACAGGAGAAACCGATACAAGTAGGCGAAGATTTTGTCATTTGGATCCTCCAGAAATCACATTCTTTCTTCAGAGCAATTCCGTGATATCAATAAAAAGGAATTGTTGGACTGGATTAAAACCACGCTTGGATCTGTGAAGGTACGGCGCCCTGCCGAACAATAAATTCTCATCCCCGTGATAAAGAGATTTTGAACATTTTAACGAAAATTCGATTTCTAGGTTCACGATATAGTTGGACATCACCGACCCAGTGATCATCCAGTAATGTTGACAATCAAGCACGAAATGGGGGCTGCAAGGCATTTGTTGCGAACAGGTGAAATAAAAGATATGGAGCACCTGGTAAGAAATTCTCTTAATTTTTGTTCAATCATTTGGCTACTATTCTAAAACTGGTGGAATGTGATAGTATCAGATTGCGAACATAATTGAGATTATAACGGACGACATCATTGAGTTCAGGTCTTCCTCCAACCATGCCTTCATGTAAATCTTTCGCATCCATTGATTAAAAGTCTTTACAACATGAAAAGAACTGATCCACAGACGGCGGAACTCCTCATTTCGCAGGTCAGTGGATTCTATTCCTTTTGCATTATCTTTCTAGAAAAGTGGAAGAATTCCCCAACAATTGAGCGAGTATCGTGGAGATTTCTTGAAATTGGAGGCAGCGCCATAGCATTACACTTTTCTTTGGTCATGACAGAGCTCTACCCTGTTACGGAACTCTACCCTGTTGCCCCAGCATCCCAAAACTCGAGAAAGTTTTGAGTATAATAAGGCCGATATACTGAATCTTCCCAAAGTCTTTTGTCAATTAACCTAAAGATGATTCGAACATAAATGTGTTGTGAACAATTTGTAAGTGGAGGAACATTGGCGACTTACTTCCGTTATGGGCTTTGTACACTGATTTTAATTGGTCTACAAATGGGACTCCTTTGAAGGCTGGTAGTCGCAGGAATGCTAGACGATTGCGGGACGCATTCCCTAAAGGAAGCGATTGACCGCGAAGACCTCATTCTGGACTCTAAGCGAGAAACGACTGGTAGATTTGAACTATGCGATATTAATTGGGAGAGGGGAGGTGGATTGAAATCTACATAACGGGACAAGGATTGCTCTGTGGGAAGTGGTAAATGCGTTTCGTTTTTTGGTTTTGTCCATTATTAAACTTTTTTGGAGAGGACTGCTTTGTCAATAGAGAGAACTTTCGAATCCTTTTCACTTCACAGCTAATTCTGGCTCCTTCTGTTAACAATTTTTTCAGGTCTACGATAATGCTCTCATCACCTCCGGCCTTTTGAAAGACACCAGTGGTATGGTGCAGCGGTTGAATAAATTGCTTACCGCATTAGCGGCTAGTGGCAAAAGCACAATTCTGACGCCGTAAGCAAGCTCAAAAGAACCGAAGTCATTTTTAGGCCTCTTCTACTTAATTGTATCTCCTTTTTTATGACCTATTTGTTATCTTTTTCTATTTTTGTTTGCACAAAATCTCTGAGATAATTGTTAAAAAGGAAAACTTCTGGCTCTGGTATTGATTCTCGTGAAAAAGTATTGTCGAACAACTCTTAGATGCACTCGCACTTGAGGTCCCCTACACGATTTCTGGTCTTTCATTTATGTTGTTTGTTTGTTATTGTTACACAGTAATATATATGTTGGTATAGTTGATCCATAAGCCGGTAAAAAAGTATTGTTATATTGATTGCTAAATATTTGACGTTGATAATTCAATTCTCATAGGAGAGTTACAAGGTAGACTCGCTCTATTCAATAACCTTAGAATAGTTTAAGTACCTCAAGATTATATTTATGCCTTTCTATGCAATTTACTTGATTGAATAAAAGTTTTCACATTGAATGCATCCTTATTTTGCTCGGTCGCAAAACCTAATGCTTACCTTTTATTATTCCACTGCTATTTATATATCTGAGTAAAAGCACGCGTGCTTATTTTGGAATAAGGACAGCAAACTTGAACGGAACTAGACGCTTCTGTAATACCATGCAGAGAATCTATTAGAAGCGCATTGGAATAGTAAAATTGATGTAGGGTATCTGTAATAGTGTTGATTTTGGGTTTGGTATTCGTCGGGTAGATTGGTGTCTAAGTAATTGAGATGATGTTTAGATGCAAAATTTAATAGATGTCTATATGGATATGCCCCCGATTACGCGGGCCTACACGACCGCATGCATTCTGACTACTATGGCGGTAGTGAGTTTTACTTTCATTTTTCTTCAGTCCAATTTTCTCCATTGGATTGAAATTCCCGAATGAATTCCGATTTATTTGTTTCTTCTCTTGACGGATGAGTTCTTGTTCTCTGTAACGTTGTTTTTGTCCATTCTAACTTTCCCTGGCTTTTCCAAGAAATAGTATATCAGAAAATCGGTATTTTTCATTGCTCTTGCTCCATTTACCTTGAACATGCAATGCGATGTGTTTCAGCAACTCGACTTCATTACTCCGTTCCATTTATATTTCAACTGGGATCTCATAGTGAAGCGGTACCAGGTTAATTTTGAACTTGATATTTTTCTCCTTTCATATCTAATTTTGCGCAGCGTTCGAAGAAAAAGTTGTCCTGCGCACTGTTTCCATAGTGAACTAAAAAAACCATTGATTTGGTGCCCATATTGACGAGTTTGTTAGGTTGTTAAGCGGCAACTTCTAGATAAGAGACTTGTCCCAATAGTAAAAAAGCCGCACAACCGTCTTAATTTGCGTCAAGCCTCACTTTTTGCACATTACAAAGTTATTTCAGTTCTGGCGACTGATCACGTCGTTCTGCTTTTTTGGATCATTTGGTTTTAGCTTCCTGTTTAATATGATATTCACGTATCGGTATTGCATGATGCTAGAAGAGGGCTCTTTCCGTGGTCGAAGAGCTGATTTCGTCTACATGTTTTTACTTGGAGGAATTCTTATGGTGAGCTCTTGGCTTTGGCTTACTTTTGTGGAAACGTCCCTTCTTGTCATATGAATTGGCTATTCTTCATATATCTAGAATTCATATACAACTTTCAATAAATGATGAAATGATTCTGTTTCAACCATTTCTCCCACAGTTGCTCAGAGAATTCTTTGATCCGGGATATGATGTGATATGCGGGATAAGCTAGATTTGCGAGTGCATCGAGAAATAATATAGTTCAAGAGAAATCAACTCACAAACTCAAACTGAAACAACTGAAACGTAGTCTTCCTCCTCTCTGCTCATGCAGGGAGGAGCATGTGATGGCATAATTTCGGAATAGTCACGAAGATGTGATATATGTATTTTTGTGGCAAATTCCATCTCAGAGGGGTTTCCAAACGGAATTTGCTTTGAAAACATCTTACCATTTCTCAGTCATTTTTTATAACACTTCTAAGTTCTAGCAGTTCAGATCATCTGCGGTATCTTTGTACAGATGGTGTTCCTTGGTCAGGCTTTTACAATCATGTTAGTCTACATTTGGAGTCGCCGTAATCCTCACATTCAGGCTAGTTTCTTCTGTTATTTCGGTTGTTTTCGGTTTTCCTGTTTACTCATTGTTCAATCACTGTGACTCAGCGACTTTCAGATGAACTTCTTTGGAGTCCTGTCATTCACCGCTCCATACCTACCTTGGGTTTTGTTGTTATTTTCACTGTTGTTGGGTAACAATGCAATCGTAGACTTTATGGGTAAGTCAGTTCGTTCATTCAAAGGCACATTCAGCGATAACATGCCTCACTAGTAATATCCAGGTGGTGAGAGCGTTGATACTAAATTGTGCACTGAAGGTAGAAAATTGAAAAAACTCCATACTCATAAAATTAATGCCAGTCTTCAACCACTTCATTTGCAGCATTGTGCGAAGTATTTGACTAATAGATTACCATTTATAAGGTTTCTTTAATCATAAAAGGCGACCGAAAAGTTCTCTCCGAGTACTGCGTCACCGTAACTGAATCGACCACGTTTCAGGAGAGACTTTTGGCCATCCTGCTCTGTGAAAACCTCATAGAGTATATATATATATATATATATATATATATATATATACTCTATGAGGTTTTCACAGAGCAGGATGGCCAAAAGTCTCTCCTGAAACGTGGTCGNTCCGTTTTTCTGTTTGTCTGTATGTTTGTTTGTCTGTTTCACTGTAACTCTCTTATACGGCGTCGTTTGGAAATCAAATGGAACAGCTCAGACAGGTTGGAACATGTGGGGATTGGGGATGAACAAGCGGGGAATGAGCCGAACCCCTTGGGTACACGTGGTCTAAGCTAGGCTCGGCCCACTAGGGGCGGGGCTTGCGCGAAATCTGTAACTCCTCTGCTCCTGAGCTTATGTAGAGTATTCAAATTTGGCAGAGATGTAGGTGGCAAGATGGGAAAACTAGTGGTAGGTGACAAGTGCAGACTCCGCCCATTGGGGGCGGGGCTTCCGCAAAAATTTAATTTAGACCTGAGGCGTTCGAATTTTGCAGAGAAGCTGCCGGAATGCATAAAAATTGGGTGTCAATGAAAATACTGTTAATTAGCCACACTTTTCTTGACAGCAACCTGGACAACTATCCTTACTTTATATAAAGCGCTCGCGTCTGTCTGTCTATCCGTCCATCCGTCTGTCTGTTTGTACGGAAATTCATAACTCCTATCCCCGTGGGCATAGGACGTTCAAATTTGGTGAGATTACCGGAGGCAGGGTGGGAACACTAATGTGGATGGCAGGATCGGGCTACAGGGGGCGGGGTTTGCGCCAAAATTGTCAATTTGGCCCTAGGGTGTTCAAAGTTGGCAGGAGGTGGCAGGATGGGAACACTTATGGTAGGCGGGAGGACCGGACCCCGCCCATAGAAAGCGGGATGAAGGGCATTATGAAATTCCTTGGGGTTTTTATAATAACCGTATAGGAGCCTATCAAACGATATAGAAAAAAAGATTGAATCAGAGACAAACTGGGAAAGGTAGAAAGGTAGAATGTTCCTGAAGATAGGACTATTAAAATGGTCCGTATACCAATCGGTCGGGATCCTAGGTGACCCATCAAAATGTAGTCAGCGGGCTCGGCTTATCGTAGTTGTCGCGATGTAAGAATGTCATGCAGAAGCTTCATTGCCGTTCCTATCGTATGCAGAAGTTTCACTTCAATTCCGATTTTAACAGACACTGCAGGGCCAGTGCAAATGCAGAAAGTCGCAAACCCAGTCGAGTGATGACACGCAACCCTTCGTTGTTTTCTCTGGCCAAAATTTTTTTACGTTAAAGCCATCCCTCAACAACCATAACGTTCGTGTTCATCTAGCGTGTAATATCTTACAAAAAGGATGCTATAAGAACAGTGAAACGTTGTTTTTTTTGAAAAAATAACTGGCAAGGGTAAGCCGCTCGTGGTTGCTTCGGTGCAGGCGTGAAAATTGACCAAGACCAGTACTCAAACACCGCACTGATGGAAGTAATGAAACACTGATCCGACTACGTTTTCTTAGACATCTCGTAGTCCTTCCAGCAGGACGCTACTCCAGCCCACAGAGCCAAGCTTGCCCGCAAGTGGAGCCAACGACAGCTGCCCGATTTCATTGGTGAAGAGGAATGGTCATCCTATTTTCGAGAACATGACTCACTTGACTCCCACGAATGGTTCCTGATTAGAAGAGGACCTGTCGAGTTTGCAAT